CTTACGTAAACTTGATCCAATTTTCTTGAGTTCTGGGAACAAATGAGCTTGTACAGAGTACTCAAAATAAATAAGTTGTCCTAATTTAGTCATTTTTAGCTAAGCTTTACTCAGTTTTTTTGAGGCAACGAGTTTCCTCAATTATTTTGAGTTCTAACTAATTAGATTTTACAGTGTATGTTAATAATCTTTAAACAGACACTCCCTGATCCTGTAAGAGCAGGAATTTAACTACAAACTCTCATAGTTCCCGTCAGTATCATTCATTCTGCTCTGCCTCAATGGTCACAGTGGCTAGTTTAAGTACGTTTGCCCCATAGAAATCCACTGATGTTCAGTGAGTCCCTTTGATACATGTTTAGACCTTCATAATTTTCAGGGTGCATGAGTGTTAGATCTCCATCTCATCCTAAACATTTTACCAACATGTAAAAGGCATACGTCCACAAGATTTTGATTTGTTTAATTTTAATTGAAACTTGTTTTATTCTGAATACATGTGTGAGATGGCCCTCAGGCCTCTAAATCCACGTCCAGGTTTGGGTGACTTCTTGGATTAGGGGAGTATTATTTAGAGCAGTGTTTGTCACTTTGGTTAATTGCTAAACTCAGGCCGTTTTTGTTCAGTCTTTTTCTAACTGAACTTTCACATTTAACATGCTAACTGAAGCCTGTAGAGTCTGAGCTGTAGCTCTTTTATTTTCTGTATTGTACAGTCTGACTTAGGGGTGGATTTGCTGGGATTGGTGACTGTGTTGCATGTTTTGAATAATCTTCTTCAGAGTAGACTTTTGGTGTAAGCTGATAGTGAATGAAGAAAACTATAAAAAGCTGCTGTGGTTTTCATTTTCCAAGAGAGGTAATGCACATAATGCAGAGACGAGCGCACGGGGGATATCCAAATTCTAGGAAGGCAGCCTGCTGCTGTACACGGGCGGATTCTTCTCAGTCAGAGTTCTTAACAACTTGACTGTTTTCTCCAACCACACAAAGAGTGCTGTTTCCATTCTGGGAAGTCTACTCATTGGTGTAGGTAGTTCTTCAAATTACCTATATATGAGCAGCTATATTAGCTTTGACTTAATATATGTTAAATGTGTGTGTGTGTGTGTGTGTGTGTGTGTGTGTGTGTGTGTATATAAATAGTATAAATAGTATACTTTCCTGTTTTAAATTTTATGATGGCTCAAACCTTACAAATTATAACTCATCACCACTTGTGTGAACTACAAGGGTGCCATCTTTTTTATTTTCAATCCATTAAGTACCACATTTTACACACTGAGCAAGAAAGGAAGTGAGCTCTTCATGGTGACCCCAGAAATGTTAATGTATCACTTTCTAGCATACACTTGACATTGCTCTACATTTTACAGTGCAGTATAAGAGTCCCGCCACAAGGAGACACTAAAGGATTTCAAATCAACTGTTTCTGCTTCCAAAGCGGCGCCAACCGTCACCACCGATGATCGTACTTATATAACATAGACTGTGGATGCATGTTTGAGTTGATACATCACTTAAAGCCACCACTGTTCAGGCATGACATTATAGGGGTTGAAAAAAATGCAGTCTTTTATTGTAGAAGTGCTGGACTCAACCTGGTGGTGGTGTGATTGTGATAGATAGATAGATAGATAGATAGATGTGTGTGTGTGTTATTGGGAATGCAAGAACACCAAACAATCACATTTTTGTTATATATTGCTTAACAAATATATCAGACCACCATGCACGAATTTCCAAATGTGCTATTTTAGAAAAAAATTGGAAAAAATAGTAAAGCATATTATTGTTTTTTTGTGAAAATGACATCTTACATTTGATTGAGCTACCTTCAAACTTTAAAGTAAACATTTCAATGTTACAATGAAATCCTATGCTGCTACTATCTATAAAAACAGAGGAAATATCTACCTATATCATCTGCCCGTTAGGTTTCTTTTTGATACACAACATTTTTATCCCTGGGTACTAACGTTTTTTTGTTGTTGACAGTTCTCAGGATGGACCTAAAATAAATAAGGGGTCAGTTATGAAAACTTCACTGGACATGGAAAGCGCAGTGTATATAAGCTACTTATAGAACAACGTGATTTATGGGAGGTAGGGTAACAGGGGTGTCAAACAAAGGGCCCAGGGGACAGACGCGACCCACAAAAGGTCTAATTTGTCTCATTGGATGGCTCAGCATGTGACAACTACAGTGAAGTAATTAATAAATCTATGCTGCAAACCCAGGTTTGCTGATCTAAACATTTATATAAAACACAGGAGTCTAAAAATCTGGGGAGTTCAAAGTCCTTTTAGAAAGACTATTTGGGCTGTTCTTCCATTTTGTAGAAACAATACTTTCTGTTGTGTGGCAACATTGTTTTTCACTTAGGAACAGCATTTTAAAAAAATCTTATGGTTCACGTGACGCAGAGCTGTTTTTATTTACTTGTCTGGAACACTTGCAATCCAGCTATATTTAGCCCTTGATAAGATGTGCTTTCTATCCCTTGTGCGTAGAAAACGGGAATCTCTCTTCAAGGGAAAAAGTGGGATTAGTAGGTGGGGTGGTCCTAATGGTAAAATTAGTAAATTCAATACAAATAAAATAAGAAATGGTATATGAGATAGTAAGATAAAAAGAACATGAGGACATAAACATGCAATTATTTTGCAAACTTGTTTCTGAAAAAATCAAATCAAATAAAAACAGCTTCTTCTTTTCTTAACCACCCATCCAAAGTTTTGTCTAACTTACTTAAAATGAAATGGAGAAAAGCCCAACTTTTGAGATAATAACATGAAAATTTGAGTTATAGACACAAATAAATAATGTATTTTTAAAAAGGTTTTTATCAATGGCGGAAGCAAGCTTTCATGTTTTTGATCTTAATTTATGAGTCGAAATAAAATGCATAAAAAGCAAAACAAAATCAAAAAATAAATAAAGTGAAGTTCATGAAAAATAATACAGCTTTTAAATATTTTGCTTCCCTGGGAACTCACTAAACCCTTTATCTAGTCTTAAACCTAAAAGAAACGTTTCCATACCTTTTATTTTAATTTGTTTTCATGTATGTTTTACTTAAAGTCAGCTAGTCCCCGTAATCCCCCAAATAATCCCTTAAAATCCAACGCAGTGTTTAATTGTGAAAAGATGGAACAGGAAGTTGTAGATTTATGCTGGTTAGCGTAACAGCGGTTGCCGCCGGGGTCTACGGGACCGTCCCTCCCAGGAAGACAGAACCCGACACCGCCTCCTGCTCCTCCTGCCTCCGTCGTTGAGGGCCGTCCTGGAGAGCGGTCCGCCGTCTCTTCTTCGTATTGGACACTGTGTCATCACTCATTTTTATTCAGCGAGGTGGTTAGCAGGTATTAGCCACCCAAACCAAAGACTGTGTCAACATCTGGTTGCTTCTGCAAAGCTAAGCATAAACCGCTAATCTTTTTCTTTCTTTTTTTCTTTGTTTCAGCCTTCTCTGTCTAATTCAGTTGCTTGTTTTGGCTTTTAGCCAGAGAGTGTGTGAGGGACACATTTAGATTCAGACAACGTGACTGCATGCTACGAGCGACAAGAAATAACGGAAAGCAGGAGCAGCGAGAAAGCCTGAAAAGGACCGATTGTTGATTTCACCAAGATAAACAACTGGCACAACAAGGTGAGCCTCGGAAAACAACATTTGCATTCAGCTACATGATCACAGATTGATTAAACATTCATTTTGCTGTGGCATCATTCCCATCGAGTGTCAGATGCTGATGTCGGAGGCCATCGGCTATTTGCATCTCTCTGTGCCCGGCAGGAGATTCATTGTAGCTGCTGACCTGCCTGACAGGGTTTCATCTTTTGTTGTTGGTTTTTTGTTTGTTTGTTTGTTTGTTTGTTTGTTTGTTTTTACCGGCCTAATGGGAATCAGTTGAGTAAAACAATAGGCGTACACTTTGGCTGACTCAAGCTTTGATTTCCTTTGAGTTGAACTTTATTACAATACCAGGAGAAAAGTTGCAGTCAGATATGCTACATTATATCATGAAGATCATATTCAGGAAATACCCAGGGCAGGCAACCTTTTTTTTATATATATTTTTTTATAACTGCACTCTGAATTTTCCAAGAAATACACTCAGGGTGTAGCCAACGCATGTTAGTATTGTTCAACATTTGCTCTACTTTGTGATACACAATGACATTTAATAGAGTGACTTTCAGTACAGCTTGACATTTAAGCATCTTTTCCTCTATCTTCATCCTATCTTCCCTTTCTCTTTCCCTTCCCTTTATTTTCCTCCAGTCCACCTACATCTCCTCCTTCCCTACATGTCCACTCCACCTCCTCTTCTCCGTTTCTTTATGCACTTGACACCCCCTTTTGCCCTTGTCCACATTTCTCCACCCCCCCCTTCTGTCCTCTCAACCCCTCATTCATCTCTATGGCTCTCTCTTTTCCCCTTCATTGATTTGCCCGGTGGCGTTGCTAAGAGACGACCGCAGTCGGAGCGCTGCGAAGGATAGAGTAGATGACAGACAGTTTTACCTGCTCAGAAAAGGAAGTGAAGATTGAAACAGGAGATTCTCTGTCAGATATCATGTGGCTTTGGTATGTAATAGCTGAAGCTGGTTGGTTGTGTAAGAAAGTTGCACCAGTAGTTTACAAAGAAACACGTGAGTTTGTGGAGGTTTTTTATTCAGTTTTATTTGAACATGACTGCAGTTAAGGATTATTGATTAATGTGCTTTTATGATTACCTTTTTATATGTTCAGTATATGAAACTGAGAAAATGGAAGGAAATGTCTGTAACTGATTGTCTGGAGCCTAAAATAAGCTTTTCAAATGTTTCATATTGTAGAGCTGAATCTGAAAATTTGACAGCTCTATTGCTTTGTTTGTTTTATAGTATAGTTTAAAAAAAAGTGTCCTGCAACTAGATTTGTCAAAAAAAAATTGATACTCTGATACAAAAAAATTGTATTGAATTAATAGTCATTTGTAAAAGTACCAACAGTGCCATCATTCAGACAACTATAATCAGTTGTCTAATAGACAAATTAGCTTTCTGTTAAAGTAAGAAAAGTTTAGCAGCAGCTAGACAGAAACAGTGGAAATGTGCACTACAGACTCTGTTTGATCAGCACTGAAAACATGGAGCCAAATCACTAAAGCACTGCTCTACCTCAGACGTCTTAAATCATTGTTGTTACAAAGAAACCAAACACTGCCTGGTGTGAGTTTTTTTTTTTTTGCTACCTACGAGAAACGTAAAATATTTGTCCTATTAGTTTTTAATTATATGATATAAATTTATATTATTTTTTGTATTGCTCTGGTGTTTTTCTTTTCTTTTTTAATGCCTCTTTATTGTTTGTAATTTCTTTTCCCTGTGGCATCAAAAATGGCATTGAGTAACGGGTATTTTCCTTGGTGTCAGTATTATGTTTGAAATTTCAGTATCATGACAACCCTACTTACAGGTGCAACTTACTAAGTTTTGACTTAATGCAATGTTGGCATAAAGCCATTCCGGGTCATGTTAAAATCTTAAGATGAAATTTTATATTATTCTGTCTTATTTTGGTACTTATTTATTTATTTTGCCCAACTTCTTATGTGGAAGTGTCTACAGGACTGGTAGTTTTAAACTTGAATAACCTGAATATACTGCTACTACTACTAATAATAATATGGATAATTATAGTAATAACAATTGATAGCAGTGAACAGAAATTTTCATTCACATTTCCAACATAAAAATATGTATAATAATAGATTTCAAGCAGAAAGAAAAAAAAAAATCTCTAATGCTGTTCTTTTTTTAGCAGCAAACACTGTGCCCATTGGAGCACAACAAGACTTTGTCTTCTAAGAACACATAGGGCTTAAGTATAAGCTGGGATGTAGCCTTTCAATCTGTGGTGAGAGGTGAAAAAGTTACAGGCTGGCCTCTTATTGTGTAACCAATTAACTGTTAAACAGAGGTGTCCGGAGATAGTCACTCAGAGCATTAAAACCCAAAGCTAACAGTGGCATTGGTATCTGAACACTACACTACTACAGAGAAACATAAAACCTCAGCCACACCCTGCCGACACCACTTTTTTATTAACTTTTTTCCTATATTACGAGATAAATCTAAACCCCCCGCTTGCATCTTATATATTCTTTTAGGATACAATTTTTAAGCTTTTTTTGTTTTTGTTTTAAATTGGTGTTTTTAATAATGAATGTATGAGTTACCACACACCATGTGGCTCCTGTGCATTGGGCATGATTGTTAAATTCCCATTTTTTCCCTTGTTTTAAAAGACACGTATGAAGTCTTTCATAATTTTAAACATCTTTGAAGAAGTCTCTGCTTGTTAATGTAGAAACTAGGAATTCTAAAAGTTCTTAGAAACCCCTTTGTGGGGTAATTTACAGTAATTGGTAAAACAATAGTATTAAAAATACAAAACTTGCACATTTGGTCCACAGGAGTGTCCCAACACCCACTCACTCTTTTAATACTTTTCTCACTGTACAATGGGACTTTTCAGACGTTACCCAGTGTAACTCCAGCAGTGTTGCCAGCTGTTCACCATTCTGCTCTTCCTTGGTCCCCACACACAGTACTGCATAAATAAGAGAGGCAGAATTAGAAAATATTCACCAGCTGTGCCAGCCAGCATCTCCCTGGCACTGCCCCATGAAACCTTCACTCCACCTTTCCTGCTGCAGCTGAGCCACAACCTCATCCCATCACAACCTCGTACACAGTAACACATTACTTATAACATATAACATTATAGAAATACTTTTACATTAGCAGAATGAAGAACTGATTGGTGTAAAAATGGAACAAAACAAGGCAAAATAAAGCCCAGGGCAAAAAAAAAAAAAAATGGCATTAGTTAGCTCTCAACTGCATGAAGTGTACACACACAATAACAAATATCAAAAAGAACTAAAAGAAGTTTACTGGACAGTATCCTTGGCCACACACCAGTGAATACCAGTAACTGGGCACAGTAGAGTCTGAGGTCGTTTGGAGGGTCATTGGACACTAATAGAAACCATATGTTAAAAATGTTTGACATGTGTAATTTTATATTGTATTTCTTCAAAGGCACACAAAAAGTATAAAAACACGTAGTTCACTTTGGATGTCTTAATTAAACTTTTAATTTTTTGTATCATTTAGTAACAGTGATGTTGAATTTCACTGACTTTTAAGTCTAACAGTATTGCAGTGTTTGTAGCTGAGTAACCAGTAAAAAGGTTTTCCTTTCTATCTGTTGCCTCAGATTCTTTGAAAGCTTGCAGAAGTTTAAAGTGCTATCATTGGCTGTGCAGTTTAAAAAAAGCTTACAGAACTGTATCAATCAGCAAAATAGCTACACAAAAAAACAAGACCTAAACAACCGATGTACATAGCAGACTTATAAATATTTAGTTATATTTAATATTTAAAGATTTTTTTATATGCAAGCACAGTAAATGTATCCCTAGAATTGGGATAAGTCCATATACTATGAAAACACGGTACTTGGTAATTGCATTTTTGCATTTGAGGTACATTTTTCATCTGTCATGTGGTGCAACAGACTAGCAGACTTTGTATTTTAAAATTATTTACTTCAAATGAAAGCTGTGAGTAGTTCTTTTAATCTTGAGTAGTTCTGTACATGCTACAATACTTTATCTACACAAAGCCTATCATGCAGTTAATACAACCTTTGACAAGTGAATAAAATAACCACTATTACAATGCAAAGCTTTTAATGTGTCAGTGGTAATAAAATTTGAAAGGGTCTACATGTAAACATGTCACACCACAAAACATGAAAAAGCCCCAGTGACCTTGGAGATCCAATAAAGTGCCACGTAATGAAAATAATTGTTATTTGATGTGTCACTTGTTACTTTACCATTTGCAGTGTTTCATCACAAACTATCCAGAGAAAATGTATTCAGTCAGAGCAAACACTGGTTTGTTGTTATTATGTACAGACTTTAGAACCAGAGTAATGGAGTGCACCATACAAAAAAGGCTTCACTAATGGTCAAGTTATAGTAGTAGTTATGCCAAGTTATTGGACTAGTTACTACTAGTTAATGCAGTCACAGACTGTTTACAAATGAGATCAAGCCTGCAGCGCTTACAAACTAAGTAAAGATACAAGTGCAGTTTTTACCCAAGGATCATGAGATCTGTACACTTAAGCTGGTAAACTTAAGTGTACAGCAAGGAGGTTGCTAATAGGATTGTTACCTTTAAACCATGTGTTAACACACACACTTGCCCTCTCTCCCTCCTCATCACTACATTCTCAGAATAACAAGAACAGATTTGAAATGTAAATCCCTTCTGCTGAATGCCATCTCAGGGTCTGTGACCAGCCAGCCACATCAGCACCGACAGTGTCATTGCTAAAAGTACTGTTAATGTGTTAAGTACATAATAAAAGGGATTCACTTACAAACAATAGTTGATGGATTTATAGTAAGATTTTTTTAAGTTTTGTTTTTTATTACCCGTCAGGCATAGAAGGCTGATGGGGTATTGTTGTCAGGGCTGGCGGGCCACGTGGGCACCCATGTTTATGAATGTGAGGAGACATAGGAGGAGAAGTAGGAGCTTCAAATTGATACCATGGGTGCATCTACTAAAAATCTTAGATGA